TTATTTTGTTTTATTGTTCTTTTTAATTGCTTTTATTTCATCTTTTTTGGTCTTTTGAAGTGTTATAAATACATTTAAAGACTTCGGAGATTAATTCTCTTTTGAGGGTTTGTTTTATTATTTATTTCTTTTTTAATTCTTTTTAATTAATTCCGTTTTAATATTTTAATTGTTTTATTTATTTTGTTTTATTGTTCTTTTTAATTGCTTTTATTTCATCTTTTTTGGTCTTTTGAAGTGTTATAAATACATTTAAAGACTTCGGAGATTAATTCTCTTTTGAGGGTTTGTTTTATTATTTATTTCCTTTTTAATTCTTTTTAATTAATTCCGTTTTAATATTTTAATTGTTTTATTATTTTGTTTTATTGTTCTTTTTAATTGCTTTTATTTCATCTTTTTTGGTCTTTTGAAGTGTTATAAATACATTTAAAGACTTCGGATATTAATTCTCTTTTGAGGGTTTGTTTTATTATTTATTTCTTTTTTAATTCTTTTTGTTTAATTAGTTCTTTTTATTTAATTTATTTATTTTATTTATTTTGTTTTATTGTTATTTTTAATTGTTTTTATTTCATCTTTTTTTGGTCTTTTGAAGTGTTATAAATACATTTGAAGGCTTTAGAGATTAATTCTCTTTTGTGGGTTTGTTGTTTTTATTTCATCTTATTCTTTTTTTAATTCTTTTTTAATTCTTTCTATTTTATTTTGTTTGTTTTTTGCTCTTCTATTCCCAAATTAATTCCCCTTCAAGGGTTTGTTTAGTCCTTATTCCCGCCAATGCGCCGAATATCGAGGGTTTAGGGTTTAGGGTTTAGGGTTTAGGGTTTAGGGTTTAGGGTTTGCGTGGTGCAGGATGCAAATTCTGAAGTGCGAGTTGAGTTTGGCCGAATCGGCAAAATGAATATTCTCTTCACTCCTCTCCCCGGAATTGTGACGGCAAGCCTTCAGGGTTTAGGGTTTAGGGTTTAGGGTTTAGGGTTTAGGGTTTAGGGTTTAGGGTTTAGGGGCTGGGGTTAAGGGCTTATTATTAAGGATTCAAAAACTAGGGTTTATGGCTCAGGGTTTGGGCTTGAGGGTTTACGGACTAGGGTTTGAGATTCACGGCTACGGTTGCTGGTTTAGGGTTTAGGGTTTAGGGTTTAGGGTTTAGGGTTTAGAGTGGGGTTTTCTCCCATTTTCCGATTGCATTTGCCTCTCCACCTCAAACTCTTTTATTTAATTAATTCTTTTTATTTTATTTATTTTATTTTAATTAATTTATTTTATTTTTATTTATTTCTTTCTTTCTTCAGATTCAAATCAAAGATTTAGATCTTCGCCTTCGTCCAAACTTAACTGGTTTTGCTCTTCGAAAACTAACAGAAACCCTTCAAGAACTTGGGGACTTGGGGGCCCCCGAGGGGGCCCCCTGGGGGCCCCCCATGGGGGCCCCCCTGGGGGCCCCCCTGGGGGGCCCCCACGGGTGCCCCCTGGCGGGGCCCCCGGGGGGCCCCCTGGGGGGCCCCCTGGGGGGCCCCCTGGGGGCCCCCGGGGGGGGCCCCTGCAGCCGTTTTGTGTCTTCTCCTTGCAATTCTTTTGGGTCTTTTTGTCCCCTTTTTGGAGGCCCTAAAGAAGGGAATGAAATTCATAATACTGCTGCTAGGGTTTGTAATTTATTTTGATTTATTATTTGTCTTTTTTATTTTTTTATTTCTTTTTTTGGACTTTTTGTCCCTTTTTTGTCTCCTTTTTGCTTTTCTTTTAACCTCTTTTGTTGTCCCTTTTTGTCTCCATTTTGTTCTTTTTATTTTTCTTTTTTTCTTTTCAATTCATTTTTTAATTGCAGAATTTAATTTTAATTTTTCTCTTTTTTTAATTGTCTTCTCTTATGTTTCTTTCTGGTTTCATTTTTTTTATTTATTTAAATTATATCATTTTGATTAATCTAAATTATTTCATATGGTATCTTTTAAATTAATTTAAATTATTTTTAATCAAATTATATTCTCTCTTTTTTATTATACATTTTAAATTAATTTAAACTGTTTAATTTAAATTATATCTTTTAAATTAATTTAAATTATTTAATTTAAATTATATCTTTTAATTAATTCAAATTGTCTCTTTTTTAATTGTCTCCTTTCAGTTAATCCCCCCCTGCCGCATACCAAGGGCCCCCCCTTACGTGCGCCGCGCCCGATATGCTCCTGCTGCTGCTGCTGCTGCTGCTGCTGCTGCTCCTGCTGCAGCAGCAGCAGCAGACCGCGACGGCTGTCTCTCCCGCCTCTGCGACGAATTTAGTCTCCTTTCAAATTCCCTTCTTTCCTGGGGGGCCCCCTGCGACGGGGGGGCCCCCCTGGGGGCCTACTGTGGGGCCCCCCAGGAGGGGGGCCCCTGTGGGGGCCCCCAGGGGGCCCCCTGTGGGGCGGGGGGCCCCCTGGGGGCCCTCTGCGGGAGCGCGGCGCCCCTCACCCAAACCCTTTCCAGTTGGGGGCCCCCTGACTTCGACAGATTAGATAAAGTAGTTCTTCCTTCTTTGAAAGCAAACACCAACTTGGTGAGTCTTTTATTTTTATTTCTTTTTATTTCTTTTTTGCTTCTTTTCTGTTCCAGCGGGGCTCCTGAGGGCCTCTGGGAGACCCTGGGGGCCCCTGGGGGCCCCTGGGGGCCCCAGGGGATCTCTGGGGGCCCTTAGGGGCCCCTGGGGGCCCCTGGAGATCTCCAGGGGGCTCTGGGGGCCCGTGGGGGCCCCTGGGGGCCCCTAAGGATCTCTAGGGGCCCCTGGGGGCCCCTGGGGGCCCCTGGGGGCCCCTGGGGGCCCCCGGGGGCCCCTCGCTGTGAGTGGTTGGAATGAGTTGGGATTTATTTGAAGAAGTGGATTATTGGAATTATCTTTTTGGAGATTTGTTTGTGTCTCTTTGCAGGCCTGTCCCTTCGCAGCAGCAAGCAGCAGCAACCCAGCTGCTGCTGCTGCTGCTGCTGCTGCTGCTGTTCCTGTTGCTGCTCCTGCTGCTGCTGCTCAGGTGTACATACACCCCACGCCCCGCCGCCAGTCTGTGGGGCCCCTCTCTCAGCCGCAAACCCCGAAAGTAAAAGAGACAATAATAATCAAACCAACCATAGTTGGGTCCCGCCAGCAGCAGCAGCAGCAGCAGCAGCAGCAGCTGCTGCAGCAGTACCAGCAGCAGCAGCAGCAGCAGCACGTCTACCGCTACGCGCAGCTTGGGGGGCCCCCCGGTACCCTGGGGGCCCCCCAAGTTGCCTATGGGGTCGAGGGGGCCCACTTGGTGGGGGCTGCGGCGTACCCCTCTCCGCTGCAGCAGCAGCAGCTGCAGCAGCAGCTGCAGCAGCAGCTGCAGCAGCAGCTGCAGCTGCAGCAACTGCAGCAGCAGCAGCAGATGGCTGCAGACCTCTACTCACCCAAGTGTGGGGCCCCACACTTTGTCTCCAATAGCCCCTTCAGCCCCCCCACACCTTCGGGGGCCTTTATGCTGTCTCCAAAGTCGCGGCAGCAGCAGCCAGTAAGGTTTGCTGCAGCAGCAAGTGCTGCTGCTGCCAGCAGCAGCAGCCGCAGCAACAGCAGCAGCAGCAGCGCAGCACCGCAATTCGCCCCTGCGGCGTTCCGTGCAACAGTGGCAGCCCCACAGCAGTTTGGAGGCTACTATGAGGACACAATGCAGCAGCAGCAGCTGCAGCAGCAGCTGCAGCAGCTGCAGCAGCAGCAGCAGCAGCAGCAGCAGTTGCGGCCGCAGAACTCGCAACGGCAGCAGCGGCTGCAGCCGCAGCGGCTGCTGCCTCCACAATAGCCTAGGGGCGACTAGCCCAGCTGCAGCAGCAGCAGCAGCTGCAGCAGCAGCTGCTGCAGCAGCAGCAGCTGCTGCAGCAGCAGCAGCAGCTGCTGCAGCAGCAGCTGCTGCTGCTGCTGCAGCCCCGCGAGTTCCATGAAACAAAGGATGAAAAGATTGGAAAATGGAATTTAAATGTTATAAAATTAAAAAACAATAAACTTTACATCTTTAAAAACTTGGGCTTTTTGCGCATGCATTGAAAGAAAACAAATTTTTAATATCATTTTTTGGAAAAAGATCTGAGGTGTCTAGACACCTGAATGCATGCAGAGTAAACAAATACTTCTCAAATGCTTTTATCCATTTGGGTAGGACTGCTTCCACTCCAAATGCTGCTGCTGCTGCTGCTGCTGCTGCTGCTGCTTTGAACAAGTGCTGCTGTTGCTGCTGCTGCTGCTGCTTTGAACAAGTGCTGCTTTTGCTGCTGCTTTGAACAAGTACTGTTGCTGCTGCTGCTGCTTTGAACAAGTGCTGCTGTTGCTGCTGCTTTGAACAAGTGCTGCTGCTGTTGCTGCTGCTTTGAACAAGTGCTGCTGCTGTTGCTGCTCCTTTGAACAAGTGCTGCTGCTGCTGCTGCTTTGAACAAGTACTGTTGCTGCTGCTGCTGCTGTTTCGCCGCAGCAGCACTGCTGCTGCTTCTGGTGCACTGCAGCTCTGCTGTTGCTGCTGCACCGCTGCTGCTGCACTGCTGCTTCTTTGCTGCTGCTTCTGCTGCGCTGCTGCTGCCGCTGCACTGTTACTGCTGCGCTGCTGCTTCTGCTGCACTACTGCTGCCGCTGCACTGCTACTGCTGCTGCTGCTGCTGCACTGCTGCTGCTGCTGCTGCACTGCTGCTGCTGCTGCTGGCGCAGCAGATTGCAGACTTTGTGCAGCTTTTCAAAAAATAAAATAAAAAGCAAATAAAAGAATTATTTTTTTAAAAATGCTTCGAGAGTTTCAAATAAATACAATTTTCCATTATTCTGCAAATTTTAAACTTTTCTTTTTTAAACATTTTTTTGTTTCTTTTGCCCCTTTGTTTGGCCATTGTGCTGCTGCAGCACTGCTGCTGCTGCTGCAGCACTGCTGCTGCTGCTGCAGCACTGTTGCTGCTGCTGCAGCACTGTTGCTGCTGCTGCTGCAGCACCATAGCAGCGCTTCTGCAGCACTGTTGCTGCTGCTGCTGCAGCGCCATAGCAGCGCGGCTGCAGCACTGTTGCTGCTGCTGCTGCAGCACCATGCAGCGCTGCTGCAGCACTGTTGCTGCTGCTGCTGCAGCGCCATAGCAGCGCTGCTGCAGCACTGTTGCTGCTGCTGCTGCAGCACCATAGCAGCGTTGCTGTAGCGCTGCTGCTGCTGCTGGGAGAAGCAGCAGCAAAGTGAAAAGGAGACAAATGGAGAAGCAAATTAAGAAAAAGAAAAAAGAAAAGATTAAAGACAAAGAGACTAATAAAGAAATAAATTAAAAAGAGACAAAAGAAGAATGCTTTAAGAAATAAAAGAAAAAAGAAGAAAGAAAATAATTGAAATTAAAAAATCACAAGGAGATAAAAAGGGGAAAATGAATAAAAGAAATAAAAGAATTAAAAAATAAAAAGAGTCATAAAGGAAAAGAAAACAAATAAAAGAATTAAAAAATAAAAAAAAGAAAAAAGAAAAAGTAGCTGCCGATTTAAGCAACTTTTTTGAGTTTTAAGAAGTCCAGAAAACGCTGAGGTGTACGTACACCTGAAATGCCTCTCAGGTGGGGAGAAATAGGAGGCAGCAGCAGCAGCAAAGCAGCAGCAGCAGCGCTGCAGCAGCAAAGCTGCAGCAGCAGCGCTGCAGCAGCACTCGCAGTGCTGCAGCAGCAGCAGCAGCAGCAGCAGTGCAGCAGCAGCAGCTGCGCTGCTGCTGCTGATTTTCGAGGCCGCGGCGCAGGGGCTTCAAGCTCTGGCGCCTCCAGCCCCCCTGGGGCCTAGGGCTTAGGGTTTAGGGTTTAGGGTTTAGGGTTTAGGGTTTAGGGTTTAGTAGCCCCGCTGCAGCGGCGCCATCGGCCCCAAAGGGTTTGTTTGTCTTTGTCCAACTTTTTGGAGAAACTCCGAAAAGGTCAAAGGCAAAGACTGCACGCGGTCTTCCACCAACATCGAAAAGAACCTGCAAACCCCAAACCCTAAACCCTAAACCCTAAACCCTAAACCCTAAACCCTAAACCCTAAACCCTGAGCCCTCCT